ACCCAGCTCCTAGAAAAGATTATTTATGTGTGGAATCATCATCCTCAAATGCAGGAGACAGTACAGTCTTGCATTGATAGCATGCCGCGCAGAATTAAAGCTTTGATAGCGGCTAAAGGTGGCTCAACTAAATATTGACTTTTACTAGCATTAATTTCACTTTTCTTTAAAATTTAATAAACTTACTCTTTTCTAAATTAATGCTGTTTTATTTATGTCAAATAAATAGGTAATTGATTGGATAATATAAAAATAAAAAACAAATCAATTTAAAATAATAAAACGGTACAATATCACTCGGTAATCAATATTTTACATGAAATCTTGCAGTGCGTCTAATAATTTGGCCAGGGACTGTATATATATATATATATATATATATATATATATATATATATATATATAACTGAGCAATCACTAAATAAATTCTACACTAAAGATCATGCCATGCTAATTTAAGTGAAAAAATAATATGAGATCAATGAAAAAAATTAATGTAAAAGACACTTTAGTTTTAGCAAAAACTCCGGTCAGTAAAAGAGTATGAAACACGGAACGAGTTTCGTTTGTATTGACATCTGACGAATGGCAAAAAAAGAGAAATCAAAGGCTGATGAGAAACAAAAAAGGTAGAAGAAGTAAAGAAAAGAAAAGGGGAAAGAATATTGAAAAAAGAAAAAACTAAGAAAACTAAAAACTTTTTAACCAATAACACACACACACAGAGACCAAAAAAAGGAAGAACCAAAGTAATATAATTGTGTGTGATTTGTTCGTATTCTGTGGCGTTTACACGCATTGACATGCGCGACTTTTAATGATTTGCTCGTTAGTTCAGAAGTATTTACCGAAAACTCTTAAGTAACTTGGAACTGAATTCGAAAGAAACCGGAAACTACGTATCATTAGAAGAGATCGTATTTTTAAACTGTTCTTCGGCACACACCCACACACATCAATTCAACTATTAAATCACGAACATTCGACGAGGAAGACGAAAAGATTAGTACTTTAGATAGTAGTAGTGATCACACAAAAAATAATGAAAGCATATTACACAACTTGCTTGACTACCTATGCTTTTAGGAATATTATCGACAAATTGTTGGGTATATAGCCGGATGCATTGTGAGGCAATTGAATTGAAAATAAATACATGCCCAGTATCGACAGTCCTATAAGTTAAGAAAAATTTGATTTTTATAATATAGTTAGAAAACGTGACAAGGGAGGACTGATTTATTCGTCTAAACTTTAAAAGAAAAGATAAAAACTACAAAAAAAGATTATAAACTTCTGATGATTAAAATAATGACACACTTGGTAAATAAAAGTATATAGGGATATATCCCTTATTAAAATAAAGGTATAATGCTTACCACTTGAGCTTTTGTTTAAAAAAAGTATTTTTCTTGCATCGGCAACATTTGAATTTGATAATAAGTAAAACGTTGTCTTTTTTAAATCCAACTACTGGGAACATTTTATTCATAAACTTCACCCGTCCATATACGTCAATGTCAAAGAGAGCCAGTCGGCAGTTTGGTGAAAAAAATTTTAAATTGTTGTGACGCTCCTTAACAATTTTTAGTTTTGTTCAACAAAAAATCTGGTAAGTGTTTTTTGCATTCAGATTCATAAACTGTGTTATATTCTTGTAGTTTTGCATCCATATACGCTGTAGGAACAGTCGGAAGAGATCGGAAAGATCTCCCGAACATTATGAAAAAAAAACTCAGCCCAAGAACTTAAGACTAAATAAACATCAATTTGCTTCTATGAAGTGTTTTTTGCATTCAGATTCATAAACTGTGTTATATTCTTGTAGTTTTGCATCCATAAGGTTGAAAAATCCAAAAAAAAGTTTTTTGATCGTGTGAAGTTATGGGTAATAGTGGTAAATTATATGCCATTGTGCATTCGTGCCTAACTGTAAATTGGATTTACTAATATAAAAATAATGTGTTGTGTGCTTATTTCAGTGATCTACATTCAACATGGCGGAAAAGAAGAAAAGACGTTTAACGTATATCAGTGAATCCAAAACACTCGAAAAAATAGTGGATAATCTAGACGAATTATTGGATTTATCTATGATGACGAAGATGATTCGCTTTATGGAGATAATGTAAGTAGTCCTTCAGACTCTTAATAATTTCTATCACGGGAAAATCTTATCGAAAGGCGCATGGAAGAGATGTTTGGGATATATTCAGGGGATGAAATAAATATTAAAGATAGCGAGGCAACGGGGCAAACAGAATAAGCTCTTTTAAAAGTTTTAGAATGTAATCCATCAACAAGTACACATACAACTGTCTCTAATAACTTGATTCCAAACGACAGCCACCAACCAACGAAAAGGTTATGTCAAAATTCTTCTGGCCAAATCCACAGCAGTTCGCTCTCAGAAGATCATATAGACCAAATTACTTCAACTCAACAAAGTTGCTCCACCGCAACGTTATCCTCTTTTATAGAAACGCAAATGCAACAGCCAATAAACAGAGATCCTCTTACCCTGACTCGGCCTTACTCTACAACACCGTCTTCTGGCATTCAAGAGCCGATTAACGAGTCCCTATTCAACACGACACAACGTCGGTCTACATCGCCATCCTCTTTTACAGAGGAGCAAATTAATATTTTATTAATTTTTTTTTTATTAATTATTTAGCAGGTGTAATTAGTATGCCATTTTCATCATAAGTGTCTATGTTTCCGGGCGGTGTATAAATATGTGACGAAGTAACACTTTTTCGTAGAAAGTTATGCAGTAAAATGCACGTCATTTTTATCAGAGAAGAGAATTTTTTTCCGAGTTAAATGGAATCGGTTTTTTAAATATTCTAAATTTTGTAACAAGAATTCCAAACGTATGTTCTACTACAACCCGTGATCTTGATAAATTCTGATTAAAAATACGCTTTGGTGATCTTGAATTATGATTACCCGGATAAGGTTTCATTACACGTGTTGACAGTGCAAAAGCACCATCTCCTAAAAATACAAAGGGCTTTGTTTGAACGAGACAAGGGATGAAGAGGAAGATTGAAGAAGGCAAGATTAATGTATTCAGGCAGTTTTTTCCATAGTAAGCTATTTCTAAAAACACCACTATCGCTATCCCGGCATTCTATATCTGCAAATATAAAATTATAATTGATGTCGACTAAAGCTACGAGGGTGGATTGAAAAGTACTCGGCCTAACACAGATCCATTCAATTCTAAAAATCAAATCTACCCACATTATTTAGTTCAGTTCAGACTAGTTCATTGTGTGAAGTTCGAAACGTGTGCGATAATTAGTTGTGATTTTATAAATTTATTAACAAAGTAATCGGACATAATTTCCGCGAATGGAGCAAATCGAGCAGCGTGCCGTCATTAAGTACCTCCATAAGAAGGGGCTATCATCAAAAGCCATACATGATGACATGGTCAGTACATTAGGCGATTGTGCTCTGTCATATTCATCCGTCAAAAAATGGATAGCAGAATTTAAGCGTGGTAGAGAGAGTGTGAAAGATGAACCCCGCTCTGGAAGGCCTTCGACGTCAACTACTGGCGAAAATATTAAAAAAGTACTTGATTTAATAATGGGAGACCGCAGATTAAAAATTAGAGAGATAGTCGAGATTATAAGCGTCTCTTATGAATGAACTCAAAACATCATTGTCAACGAGTTGGGTTGCCACAAGGTGTCTGCGAGGTGGGTTCCGCGACTGCTTTCAGTTGAACAAAAAAGGACGCGATTGACTATTTCACGCGACTGTTTGGAGTTATTTGAAGCCGATGCAGATGATTTTTTGAATCGTTTTGTTACTATGGACGAAACATGGGTTCATTACTGTACACCGGAAACAAAACAACAATCAAAACAGTGGAGAAGACCTGGTTCACCACCCCCTAAAAAAGGCTAAGTCGATTTTGTCGGCAAATAAGGTGATGGCTTCAGTATTCTGGAACTCGAAAGGTGTGATTATGATTGATTATCTTGAAAGGGGTCAGACTATAAACTCTGATTACTACTGTACCTTACTACGTCATTTACGAGAGGAAATAAAAGAAAAACGTCGAGGAACGCTCAGAAGAAAAGTCCTGTTTCATCAAGATAACGCCCGTGTTCACACGTCAGTACAGTCAATGGCTGAAATTCACAACTGTGGCTTTGAACTGTTACCGCATCCGCCGTATTCACCTGATCTGGCACCATCAGACTTCTTTCTGTTCCTAACCTAAAAAAGCACTTGGGAGGTCAGATTTTCGAGAAACGACGAGGTCAAAGCAGCTGTAGACGCATATTTTGACTCTAAGGAAGAATCATTTTTTTTTCAACGGTCTAAATGCTTGGAAGGGGAGGTGGCAAAAGTGTATTGAACTTGATGGTGATTATGTAGAAAAATAAAAATATAACTGATTTAGTATGTGTTTATTTTCTTGGTTAGGCCGAGTACTTTTCAATCCACCCTCGTAACAACACTATGCTATGTGTTTTCTTATAATTAAAATGTTCCGATCCTGCTTCTCGTGGGCATTCTATTACAATACGTTTTCTATCAATTGCATCACGAGCTCGGGGAAAGTTAAAACTCTTTTCAATATCAAGCCACTCTTCTGCGCACGTCAGTCTGTAAAAGAAAACATTATTTCCTTCATTTATTCAAGTTTACGATAGTAAATAGTTAAATACGTTTATATCACCGACTTACTACTAAGGGCGCGTTCCCACCGTGTCGACACAAATCAAGTGTCGTGGCTTATATGTTTAAATGGAGGTGTTCACATTTAGGACGACACAATTTACTGTCGTCTAGACAGTTTTTGCAGACACCACAGGGGAACAAGCACGACAGTCAAACAAAAAAATCGTGGACGGCAACTCTGACAACACGTTTTTCCCTTCCCTCTCGCACCCGCGCGCCCCTCGCGTCTGTACTCGGTTTGCTTTGTGCGTGTTAGAACTTGTCAGACTCCTGCGGATGGTGGACGTATAACAATGGCTAATAATATAACACCGGAAGTTTTAATTCCACTTGTGGAACAAAGGGCTGTCCTTTGGGACAAAACTTTAGACATTTATAAAGACAAAGGTTTGAAATTAGCCGCGTGGAGAGAAATTTGTTGCGTTTTTGAACCTAATTTTGACAAGTTGGAGGAAAAGGAAAGAAAAGATTTCGGTAAGTTTCTAAAACTTTTTATTTATTATGATACATGTGCTGTAATGTTTTGCCAAGGTACGGAGCCTATTTCAGATACAAAATAGTCGGAAAATTGTAAGCGCACTGCGTTTCCACCACCTTCGTTTGAACGCAGCTGTGTTGCAGGCATGTTTACCAGGGGCATAACGGTTGGGGTATTCTCCAAGTATATAGCGTCTTTTTTTATTAAAAAAATATGTAATACCGTACAAGCCTTTACAACTTCAATAGCTGTTTCTGCACATACATCCAATGGTCTATGCAAGATCCTCCATTTATTGGATAAGATACCAAAAGTGCATTCAACATATCTTCTCGCGCGGCTTAGACGGTAATTAAATATCTTTTTCTTATTGTCTAAATGAGTACCGCCATAAGGTCGCAATAAATTTTGTGACAATGTAAAGGCTTCGTCTCCAACAAATACATATGGTATTTCTTCTTGCATATTTTCGTGTAATGGCGTGGGTCTTGGTATATTCAAAGTACCATCATTTAGTTTCTTCCAAAAATTGGATTGTTTTAGGATAGATGAATCACACTCTTTTCCGTATGAACCAATACTAACGTAAATGAAACGGTATTCTGAATCAACAATTGCAAATAAAATAAAAGAAAAATAATCCTTATAGTTAAAAAACATAGAACCACTATTTATTGGCTTTGTAATTCTTATGTGCTTGCCGTCCAGCGCACCGAGGCAATGAGGAAAATTTGCTTTCGTTTTAAAAGCTTCAGCGATCGCTTTCCATTCTTCTTCGGTATTGGGCAACTTTAAATATTCTGCACTTAATACACTCCAAATAACAGAACAAGTTTCTTTGATTATTTTGCTGATGGTTGATATTCCCACTCTAAAATTATAATGCAGTTGTTTAAACGAACATCCCGACGCCAAATATCTGTAAATAAATACAACAGCTATTATAATACGCTTATATTCGAGGACCAATGCCCTAACATTATAATTATGTATAAACATATAATCAGTCTAATACGTAGTCCCTTACTTGTTCACGGAAACATCCGGGGATACTAGTGGAAAAACTCGATCTTAGTATAGTTTTTTAAACTCTGAAAAACGTGCAGATGTTTGCGTGAACAATAATTTGACTACGTATTAGACTGATTATATGTTAATACATATAATGTTAAATCTATACACAAACAAATTTTAATTTTAAGTCTATTTTACTTTTACAGCTACACAGATATCTACAAAGTGGACACATATTCGAGATGCATTTATGAGATCCCTGAAAAATGAAAAAGAAAAAAAGCGATCTGGTGCAGACGCAAAAACTACTAGGCCGTATGTTTATAAGAATCAGCTGTCTTTTTATTAAAAGTTACTGAGCCCCGTATGACCTCAGATTCATCTAATGAGCCTAATAATTCTATCTCTGATACATTAAGTGATGCAGCACCTTCTACTCAAAAGAAAACTAAGACTGACACATTAGATGATAAAATGTCACAATTTCTAGATTATAAATTAAATAATCGAGAACACACACATGTGTCCTTTATTAAAGGAATTTTACCATCTTTGGCATCATTCGACAATGATGACAATTTTGAATTCCAAACGGGTATTATCAGAAAAAAAAAGCCTTCGTAATAATTTATATGATACTTATGCAAACTATGGTGACTACCAAAACCATTTATCACAACCGACAGGATATTTTACACAAGATCCAGGTGCATCAACTTCGACTAGCAATCAAGTTATGGAACCGGCTGCATCACCAAATTCAGTCTATACTAATTTGTCTGATAGCACACAAGATTCTTTTAATTTTGACAATATATAATTTAAAGATGTCTACTTATAAAACGTGTAACTCTAAAATAAATCTCTAAATAAATAAATGTATACATTAATAAAGAATTTTCATTTTATTTACTTACCTTAAAGTTATCACCAGTCTTTCTTCGGCACTTATACAATTTCTGAGGACACAAGGCTATCAAAGGTGGAGACAGTCATTCTTAAATACTCATAAAACTTTCCATCATCACTTTTTAATTCTTCTATATAACTCTGACATAATCCTAATGGAATTCTTTACATTAACATTGGATGTACCCAGTACTTTCTTTTCATTTCTTGCTTCATTTTCCTTCTTTTAAAAAAGTAAAACATTATTAAAATTTCATCTTCATCCATTGAACTCAGGAGAGTAAACGCACTAGTAATCACCAAGCGAACGCAGAGGCGACTAGATTTGTAGCTTGCTGATGATGCGAGCGATCTGAGCGATTCAATGGGACTAGATATCAGCTAGATACGACAGTCGCTAAACGATAAAAAATGTTGACGACAAACAATCGTTATAATGGGAACAGGTAGAGACGACAGTCGTCGAAAGATAAATTAGTCGTTACGACATAGTAGGAACGCGCCCTAACATGTTACTTGTGTTGTCTAATAATCGTATTTTTTAATTTACTGATTTTTCATATATTTCTGGAAGAATCAGCAAACAATGAAATATGTGAGGAGGCTCAGGAGGCTAGTTCGAGTCATGATATAAACAATGAACAAATAATGTCTAAAACGATTCGTCGCCATAAAAACCCGTCTGAGCTTTTGATTGCTGGAGAAAAAGATTGTCTTTCGACACTCAAAACGACATTGAGCGCTTGGCAACACCAGGAAGATGATGAATTGCCAAAAATTAAAATTGTTACATGAAGATGAAAGAAAGCAGTTTATATATGAAATTTATCAGATGTTTTGGCGTTGTAACCGAAGCAAAGAACTACAATCCCCTATTTTTCGAAAGCTCGATCAGAAACTCTTGCAAAGTTTTCGCCTGCTCGAACGTATATTTCATCAACGTCTCCATCACATCTGCAACAACAGAGGGCAAATATTTCATGCAGCATTTACTCCAAGCCACCAATGCAACAACAGATGGCAACTAGCTCACGCAGCTCTTACTCAGAACCACCATTGCAACAACATAGGGCAACTAGTTCACGCAGTACTTACTCCGAGCTGCCAACTTATTCCATAAAACACTCCGGGGCACCTATACAACAGCACATGTACTCAGAGTCACTACAATTAGATCGATCAGCAATTCATATTCCAGAAGAAGCGTCAACCGCAGTAGATTAATCAGTGATTAATTTAAGAAATGAGTTGATTCAACAACCTACTTAAAACTACACAGATTGTAGTAATGCCACGAGCGACCAACCTACTGACGGTCCAACTGATAATTTGATTGGTAAGGCGTTTAAGTATGCTTGATGTACAAAGTTCCTAAAGGTGTGTCCAAATATAGCGCGGCATACGAGCGCGGCTGCCGCGTGCGGCTAGCCGCGCTATGATTGGACGACTGCCGCGCGCGGCAGCCGCGAGCAACATGCCGCGCGCGGCAAACGCCGCGAACCGTGTTAGTTTTGGTTCGCCGGTGGTTGTGTGTATACGGACGTACTTTATCAAGTTAAATGGATAACGAAACAGCAATTCGTCTTATTGAAATATATGGCTCCCATAGTTCATTATGGGATACTAAACGTAAAGAATATCATAATAATAACGTGAGAGAAGATATATGGGATGAAATAGCCAAAAAATTCGTACAACCAAAAACAGATTTTATCTCCTAATATTACGTATGGTATGTTAGTTATGTAGAGTATTTGTAAAATTTCTGGCGCTGGTACATTAAGTTATTTTCTAGCTTTCGATACAATTCGGAATGTTTATAAACTCCTCCATCTGAAATTCGACCTTGGCTTCCTACGTTAACATACATAAAATTGTAGTTTGAGTCTACTAATGCTAATAGCACGATGCTAAAGAACTTTTTATAATTAAAATATTCAGTGCCGCTACGAAAAGGAGCTTGAATAGTTATGTGTTTTCTATCTAACGCACCAATGGTGTGCGGGAAATTCCATTTTTCCTCGAAATCTTTAGATACTGCCTTCCAATCTTGCTCTGATACTGGGAGCTGAAAAATATTTTTTTTGTTAATAACGTTTTATAATGGTAGTGAACTTTATTATTTTGTAGGACGTTTTAGTACGACAATTATTATTTTGTTATTTTTGTTTCAGGATTGTGGCTCACCCTCAGAGCTGGGTAATACAGAACAAGCTATTCCAGAACAGAGCATTTCAGAACAAGGCACTTCGGAACAAGGAACTTCAGAACAAGAAACTTCGGAACAAGGCACTCGAGACCAAGATACAAATACCAAGAAATCGTCAAGAAAAGAAAAGCCAGCCAAGAAGAGGACATACCAAGAGTCAGAGTATGATACTGAGAAGCAAATGATAGAAGAAGCATTAGAAGTAATGCGAAAACAAAATGACAGTAGAAGTAATGTTCCTTACGTTGCTTTTGGTATGCACATACGTAGGCGGTCCCATAAGAATTGGCCTAACTATGAACCAATGAAGGAAATGAAACGAAACCAATTTTATTTTTCAATATAATCACCATGAATACTAACACACTTCTGACATATGTGAATCAACATCTCTAAACCTTTATAAAAATAATCACATTTTTTGTCCTCAAAATGACTGAAGACGGCCGCCTGCAACTCTTTATCGCTTGAAAATTTTCTTCCTCTTAAGTCCCGCTTTAAATTTGGAAATAAATAATAGCCGGACGGGGCCATGTCTTGACTGTAAGGTGGATGTTGAACTTCTGTGAACCCGTATTGACGAACTGCATCCTTCGAAACACCAGCGGTATGAACAGGGGCGTTGTCATGGAGCAACAGGACACCTTTAGACAGCTTGCCTCTTCGTTTTTCCTTTATCTTATCTCGTAATTTATATATTAAAGAAGCATAATATTCGCCGTTCACGACTATATTACGTTCTTTAAAATCCACCATCAAAATGCCTTGAAAATCCCTAAATATTGTGCACATCAGTTTTTTAGTCGATTGTTGCACCTTTGCCTTTCTAAGGGGCTTTTCACCCTTATAACGCCATTCCATTGACTCGCGCTTGCTTTGTGGATCATAATACAAGATCATAGTTTCATCACCAGTCACTAGCCGCTCGATCACAGTCTTTGGACTTTCGCCACAAAGATCCGAAAACTCCGAAGCGCAGCGCACTCTTTCCTCTCTCTGTACCGCTGAAAGAAGTTTCGGTACCCATCTTGCACTCACTTTTTTCATGTGAAGTTGTTCATGTATCGCGCGATGAACGGTACTCTTAGAGAGCCCAAGCCTTGCTGCAATTTCTCTAATCTTTAAACGGCGGTCACTCAGAACCTCCTCTTCGATAAGAGCAATCGTTTCGGGAGTGAGCACTTCCACAGGTCGACCGTCGTGGCCAGTCTTCGACGGTTTCTCTCCCGAGGCGAAACTCTTTCACCCAATTTTTCAATGTGCTATAGGAGGGGGCAGACTCCTTATACACGCCATCCAATCTTTCTTTTATTTGGGCAGGGGATAAACCTTCTTTAAACAGAAACTTTATGACACTTCGATACTCAGTTTTCAACATTTTGAAAAAATACGCGATTCTCGTTATTCAAATGTTCCTGTTAAATCAAGACTAAGCATTTCATGTCGATGCATGTTTCTTATATTAAGTGCACGATAAACGCACTATTTAATGCAACACAACATGTAGCGACATGTCGCGTTGAACTATATCAGGCCAGTTCATTATGGGACCGCCTGGTAGCAGCCGAACTAAGAAAATATGATGCCACAATTTTAACGAGAGTTAAACATTCAATAAATACTATATTATACGAAGCAGATATGGAACGCCTCAATCAATCATCAAGACAAGAATATAACGCTGAAAACAGAAGAGGATATTTTACTTCACAGTTTACCGATCTCGACTCATCATCTTCTAGTAACATGGATTCTGGCCTTACACAATTGATTCACGATTTGAACACGGATGTAGATTAATATTGTGAATCGGTTGAGAGCAACTGTGATTGATGATTACGTTGTTTTTTAATTATTACTTAATTATGAACAATCTGTAATTTAAAATATTTCGCTAAATAATAAAAATAATTAAAGTAATAAAGTTCATATTTACCTGTACCATGTCCTTAAGTGCTCTCACTATGGCATTGCACACCTCTGGAATTATTTTTGATATTGTTTGCTTTGATACGTGAAATGTGTATTGTAGGCTGGAATAGGTGTCTCCTGTAGCCAAATATCGTAACGTTATTGCAAGTCTCTCCTTCGACGTTATTGCCGTGCGCCAGTGAGTATCCTTTTTTTTTAATAAATGGTTCTACCAATGTATGTATGTGTTCGAATTCTTCCAAAGATAATCTTAAAAACTGTGGCGTTCGGTAGTTGATTTCGTAATAGATCACTTCCAGATTCTTTATCCTCTGTTGATATAGTGGTCGCATCCAACACTGCCTTTTTTTTAATACATTTTCTACTGTTAATTCTTCTACGTAATTTACGAATAATAAGCAGAGCTACAACATACGCGGCCGCTTTCATTATGGTTTGAATACGAAATAAATAGCACGGCGTGTCTCAGACATGCCGCGCAGCACTGCCGCGCAGAAGGTCTAAACTAGTCGCGCGGCAAATTTGTGTCCCGCGAATGCCGCGCGTAGCTGCCGCGCACCTAGCACGCCGTGTTTGGACACACCTAAAGAATTACTAAATTTTGTTTACAAATTTTAATAACTAATAAGTACTTAAGACACTTTCGTAATAAAAGCTTTTGATTATTATGCATTTATTATGATTATTATATACATATATTGCCATCCTAGCGCGCAAACTACGCGCTGCTCAGTCCCCTCAGGAACGTCTCCTTGCTCTTGTTGAGCATCACAATATCTTGAGTTAGTTGTAATAAAAACAACAAAATGTCAGGGCCTCCTACTCTCGCCATATCACACGGTCGCATGAAGCCAGAGGGTTTGTCGCTTGTATCCTTTAATATACGCGGTTTGCGTAATAACCTCCCTAAGCTTAGGCTTTTTTTCGAGATAGTGAAGCCGACCTCCTCCTGCTCCAGGAGATCCACCTCAGTTCTAAAGTCCTCAAAGGCCTCTCTATCAAAAAGTATTCTCTTCTACGTGATGACAGAACCGACCCTAAAGGCGGCGTTACAGCCATTTACTACAAGTCGCTTCATTGCTTCCACATCTCCCCCCACTCCGAGGCGTACCAATGTGGAAGCCACAATATGTAGGATTGCCTTGACTGGACACCAGTCTATCATCATAGCCTCCTTCTACATCCCTAGCGGAACCCTCCCCGTTAAGAGCGATTTCAAATTCCTCATTGCACTAGGAAAATTCAGTCATTATGTTTGGAGATTTTAACTCCAAACATACTGAATGGACCTGCCTCACTACTAGTAGTAGTGGAAAGGTGCTGCTTGATATCACGCAGTCTCTCGACCTGACTAATTACAGCCCTCTCGCTGTCACGCATTATTCCAACAATGTCGACCATGCTCCTGACGTGCTAGACTTTGCGCTAGTAAGAGGATTTTCTTTCAACCTTAGAGCCATCGAGACTCTCGATGATCTAGGGTCCGACCACCGTCCTGTATTCCTCACCCCTGGCCATAAGACACCTCCAACTCACTCTTCCAAAACCTACAGCAACTGGGAGGGCTTCAGGGAGTCCCTAGCCTCAGCTATGTACTCTTAGGACTCTCCCATCACCCTCTTTTCCGACGTCCTCGACAGCATGAGGAAAATAGATACCGCGGTCAATAATCTCACCACCCTGGTAAAATCCTCCCTTAAGGAGAATAAAAGGATTGTCCTGGTTGCTAATAATAGTCTTCCCTTAGATATTAGCAACCAGAATTAAAGCCAAAAGAGCTGCTCTCCGTAGAGCCGCGCGCTATCACACTCCCGACTATAGAAGTACGGCCCACCGTCTCCAACGTGAACTCTGTTCACGCCTCTCCGAACTGAGAGATCTCGAAAAGATCAATCTCATGGAGAATATCTCCCCCTCTATTGATGACGAGACGGCGAGAGCCTTCAGGATAGACGCTATCACTCATACTCCCACTCTCTCACGTCCCGATGGCTCAGTTTCGCAGACAGCGTCGCCGCGTAATGCTCTCCCAGCTCACACCCCACAGACCCCTTCCACATACAGAAAGTGGATGACGAGGTCCGCTACTGGAACTCACCCCTCACCGCCTCTGACCCTATCACTGTGTCCAAAAATGAGATTTCATCAATCATCAAAGGACTGAAAGCCCAAAAAGGGAACGGGTGCAAATAGTATATCCAACCAAGCCTTTAACCCTTAGTTACTCGCATGGGGTCATCGCATTTTCATGTTCTAGAAAGTAATACTTGCCGTGGTCTGATGTTCCCCCCGCCCCCGCTAACTTCGTAACTCGCGCCGAAGTTTGTATTCTAGTAGCGATCAAGTCACGGGAGTGTGAGGACGTGTCGCTGCGCTCTTGAACGGTGACCCCATGCGAGTAATTGCGTTACTTTTTTGAAAGAGGTGAGTTTTTTATTTTATGTATTTTTTCGTGTAATATTAATTCAATTTATATTGTTATGAGTCGTATTTATTGATTTTATGTATAAAAAGCTCTTTTCAGGTTTATGAAATTAAATTTTACAAAAATTCATGTTTCAATTTTTATTTTACGAGACATAATGGCAGAAATGGTCCCAAACAAAAATGGTCGAAATCTCCACCACCAAGTGCTGTAAAAACACGAGGCCATAATATAATTTTACACTTACCAGGTAGCAAGTCAGCAGCAAAATCCGCAAAGACTCCTTTGGAATGTTTCAGTTTGTTTTTTTCAGATGAAATTTTGAATATGATTGTAACAAGTACAAATCAATATATCGGAGAAGTCAGAGATAAGTTTCAAAGAGAACGTGATGCAAAATACACTGATATTGAAGAAATAAAAGGTTTTCTAGGTTTGTTGATTATGTCTGGACTATTGAGAGCCTCTCATCTCAATTTCTTAGATCTTTGGGCCACCGACGGAACCGGTATAGAGATGTTTCGCCTGACAATGAATTATCAACGTTTTTTATTTTTACTACGATGTCTAAGGTTTGACGATAGAACAACAAGAGCTGAACGACTACAATTTGATAACTTAGCACCTATACGTCAGATATGCGATATGTTGCAAGCAAAATTTCAAGAAGCCTATTCGCCGAGCGAAAATGTGACAATAGATGAGCAATTGATTGGATTCCGTGGCCGTTTCAAAGGCAAAGTTTACATGCCAAGCAAACCAAATAAATACGGCATAAAAATCAGGCATTAGTAGATTCAAAAACTTATTATTTGTTAGCTTTTGAAGTTTATTCTGGAAAACAACCTGCGGGTCCTTACCAAGTCTCAAACAGTCCTAATGACATAGTAAAACGTCTTGTAGTGCCAATAAAGGGAAGCTGCCGTAATATTACCACTGACAATTGGTACACAAGCGTGAAACTTGCAAATTAATTGTTGGATCCACCTTACAAGCTCACCCTAGTTGGAACTCTTAAGAAAAATAAACCTGCCATTCCTAACGATTTTCTGCCAAACAAAACAAGAACTCAATTCAGCTCCCTTTTCGGTTTTCAAAATCAATGACCATGGTTTCTTACGTGACGTGCCGAAAACAAATAAAGCAGTTGTGTTGTTGTCTTCCATGCATCACACAGCTGATATCGACCCAACATCAGGAGATGAGCAAAAGCCTGAAATAATAACGTATTATAATAGCACCAAAGGAGGAGTGGACACTAATGATCAGTTGTGTGGTAATTACAGCGTAGGAAGGCGAACTAAACGAAGGCCACTATCCATTTTCTTCCATCTCATAAATGTAACAGGCATAAACGTTTTCGGTGTACATAGAGCGAATACTAGCAACTTATGCACGCACGTCAGGCGTCATTTTTTGCGGCAATTGGCTTCTGAACTAGTTCTAATACACCAAAAACGACGACTAGAAGTCAGTGCAACTCCTAAGATTGTAAAAACACGTCTTATGGAAATTCATGACTTGGAAAACAGCGCTCCGCCATCGACAACGAAGCGAGGGCGTTGTAACAACTGTCCTCGGAAAAGCGACCGAAAAGTATCAACAAAATGCAAAAAATGCAAAAAATTTGTGTGCAACGATCACGCTGAAATATACTGCCAACATTGTGATAAAATTGATTCAGAGAGTTCCTCAAAATGGTTAATTTTTTAACTTTGGTCTCAAAATAAGTAAAAACTGTTGATTTTTGATAATTATTTGAACTTCGTTTGCTTTTGTTTGATTATTATAATAAGTCACGTTATTTCTCGAAAACATTAAAGAACAAATAAAGCGCTTAGTAATAGAAAAAGTTTTATTTACTTATTTATATTTTATATACTTAAAATAACGTCTATAATTTGGGGTCACCGGAGACCCCATGCGAGTAGTTATGTATTATTCGTCGTGCGAGTAAACAAGGGTTAAACATTTTCCAGAGCAAGTGATGGCCATAATCTTCAACGCCTGCTTCGACTTCAGCTACTTACTCACCTCTTGGAAAGAGGCAACTGTCATTGGCATTCCCAAGCCAGACAAGCCCCCCCACCTCCCCTCCACTCACCGTCCCATCAGCCTCTTCAAGGTCATGGGCAAACTTTTTAAACGTGTTGTCCTCACTCACATGAGGCGCCATTTGTTTCCCACAGACGGCGATCCTCTTGTCATCCCCCACCAGTTTGGATCCCGAGCGAAACACTCATGCCCCCAACAAGTTCACCGTATAGTGGAATATATCCTCAGCAGTTTTTATCCTCGTCATCAGATGACCATCGCGGTCTTTTTCGACATTCCTAAAGCATTCAATAGAATTTGGAATGAAGGCCTTATCTACAAATTGTACGACTTAGGCCTCCATGTGGGCCTAGACAAAATCCAAGAGTTTCCCGTGCAAGCGTTTTCCGCTCACGCTAAGGACTTAACGTTAGCGTGTTGAAATTGGTAGACAAGTTACACATAGAACGCTGAACGCCCATTCCGCAGCGTTACCCGAAACACTCTTTAATTAGTCTATGGAATAGTGTGTAGCAAGTGTCAATTGCGTCAGCATCTTCTGTCAAACGCAAACGCGCGCTTAGAATATTATTTAAGTGTTTTATTGAAAGTTATTGAAGTGTTTCATTACAAAAAAGTTAGTGAAGACATTGTAAGAACTGCGATATGGATTCTAGACTTCGTGCGAGTCCCGAACAATTTAGTTTGCTAATAGAATTTATGGAAAGGTAGGTTTTTTCCAAATGTTTTCATTTATTCCAATTTTTGTTCCCTGTATTTACGCGAACACTACACATTTAAATAATACTAGTTTTTACGAAAGTTATCCCCCCCCGTGACCATGGGTGCTGTAAAGCGCTCGAAACGTCGGGTATTTAAAAAGTTAAATATAAGCGATAAATTCCGTAAAAACTAGCATTATTTCAATTTTGTTCCCTGTTTTAATTAGTATTGGACCTACTTGAAAATATGGAATGCATAATGTAAACAACCTCACAATGGTGCACTTATATGATTGTTGTTCTTACATTTTGTTATTCTTATAAAGATCTATTCCAAACCTTAATACTTGTTTCTTAGTAAGGGTATTAGAATGTTAATAGCAAACTTTGTTTACTGACTCTTATTCTCACTGTACACTAATCTTATGAATATTATTTTTAGCCAGGGTGATCTTTCAAGGCCACAAGTTGGACTTCAAGGAAGGGTAAGGAGTGAACGCCTGTGGCAAGAGTTAGGTGACATTTTAAACTCAGTGGGTGGATGTGGTGTTAACAAAACTTCCGACAAATGGAAAAGGGTAATAAGATATTAATTATTAAGCAAAGTATGTACTGCTGTTGCATAGTACCTATGAAGACCATTTATTTTAATGTATTATTTCATATTTTGTGCTACAGGTATGGTCTGACTGGAAAACCAAAACAAAAAAGAAAGCCTCCCTTATAAATCGGGACATTCATGGCACTGGTGGTGGGTCTGGTAGGGGAAAACCATTAAGTCGACTTGAGGAAAGGGTGTTACGTGTTATTGGGGTCACCGCAATTACTGGAAGTCAAGCCATACAAGAAGCAGGCTTTCAAGTAAGTGAACCCTTCATATATTAATGTTTTTTCTTGTTTTGTTGATTTCATAAAAACTTGCATATTTCTGGTCAACAACTGGTTATATTTTTATAATTAGGAACCATCTCAACCCCAAGTGAGCAATACAGCTGATACAGCAGGGAGGATGTCATCACCAGCAGAAATTGAGCTCTTAGCATTACCATCAGCTGCAGAAGATACACCCATAGCAGTGCCAGCAAATGTAACATCTCCACCAGCACATCCTGTCAGTCCTGTGCCAGGACCTTCAAATAGTAGAACTATACAAGGAAGTAATTATTACAAAATTAATTTTGTAAAGGTATTAAAATTATTGAATATTCATTATTATGAGTTATTGAAACTACCAACATTATTAAATAACTTCATTGCCACCATAGATAGAACCACCATCACCACCATATTTCGTTAGTTTTCTTTAGTATATTATAGCTTTCATCTGTGTTCTCAGAAAGGTCGCCGGTATCTGCCGGCCCTTCTACACCTCGTCAACGCCATCTCAGACAGCGAAGACTGCGACAAACACCATTTGACCGAGCCACCAGCGAGTTTGTAGCAATAGAGGAGAATCGGTTGCGGAGAATATAGACAATAAATAACAATAGAGGAGAAAGGGAGAGGGATGCGCGTCAACACGAGCTTGAAACTGAACGACTCAAAATAGAAGCACAACGTCTGCAACTTGATAGAGAGCGCGTTCGGGTCGAAGAAGTCCGCACCCGTGTAGAGGCAGACCTACGTGACTACATCCAAGAATTAAATTTAAAAATAACAGCTCTTATGTCACTATTGGAGACTCGTGATTTGAGACCGAATTAGCATTTAAGTAACATAATTTATTTTACCCCTAATGTAATTTTATTTGACTGTGCTATGTAATTAATATTACTTATATTTTTTTTTGTTTTCATTTTTTAATTTAGACTTAATAGTGCATAGTGTATAATTCTAATAATGAAAAATATTTTAAAGAAAATAAGTACCTTTTTAATTTTGATCTTTTACTTGAAAATGAGATTTTGTTACATTGATTTCACAAATTACTTATCACATACCATTACACTAACAACTAAGAAATACTTCAGTACAAGCACTAGACAAAATTACAATTTAAGTAACATGATATTCTCCCATAAACTTTATTTGTTTATAATCATATTCATTTAAAGCTAGGTACAAAACATAGACCCTGGGCACAGCAAAAGGATAAAATTAAAATTACAAAAACAAAATTATAACTCTATATCTACTACTTACTAACATAAAATTAATTGTACAATAAAATTTGGATAGTGTATAATTTTATTAATGGAACATATCTGACAGAAAACCTTGACCTTTAATTTTGATATACACCTTCAAATTAGAAATAAGGTTTTGTTTTCACAAATCACATAACGTAAGTCCCTAAATTAAAAAAAAGAATAAAAAAATCACACAACACGTACCATTATACACTAAAAACTCAGAAATACTTTTAAAGTCTTGATAAAAGATTATTCAGTACTGCCTTGCCTTAGAGTAGCTCACTTTGATCACTAACAGCACCAACGCTATCAGATGCATTGTCAGGTTGAGCATCATCTTCTTCTACTTCCATAATAGATGGAGGAGGTAAATTGGCCTCTAAAGCCATATTGTGTAACACACAACAGGCAAGTACAATTTTCCCAGCAACCTCAGGATGATAATGCAAGGTCCTCTGTCTTAATAAACACCTCCAACGTGACTTTAGCAATCCAAAACAGCGCTCTATACAGTTTCTTGCATGTACATGTCGCTGAGTATATGTATCTTCAACTGAGCCAGGAACCGCATTTAATATGGGAGTCATCAGCCATGGCCGCTGAGGATATCCAGAATCACCTAAAAATACATAAATAAATATTTGCATTAGATAATACTTATTTGCTACGCAACAATGTAATTCTTTGTGAATAAAATGTTTTAACAAAAGTGTTATCTAAAAATATACCATATTATTTATTTACCTACCTAATAACCACACTTGTTCTCCATTTTGGTGCAATTCTCGCATAAATGTTTCCATTCTGCTAGATGCCCATATGAATGAGTCATGGGTAGCTCCGCCAAACTTTGGATTTACATTAGTAATTTTTAAATTACTATTGCATACTGTTGACAGGAAAAAATTATGGAACATGTATAATAATCCTATGAATATGTTTCTGTAAGTACTAATTAAAGCTATTTTTACATAATTGAGCCACAAACAAATGCAAACTTACTATTTGTACATTCAATGAATGATAACCTTTCCTATTAAAAAATTAATGTTCTTCAACTGGTGGCTTGACTATTGCCACATGGGTACAGTCTATGCATCCAACTATACCCGGGAGTCTAAATCGCCTCTGAACCTGTAATTTTGGAAAATGTAATACTTAATTATTTTGTTTTTAAAAGGACAGATGTTTTTACTAGTATTTTGAACCTAGTGTGCATGAAAGGCTCAATGAGGCATTTTCTTAGTACCTATCGGTCTTAAGGAAGGTATAGTGTTTAGTACATCAAAGAATATGCTACTAATAAAAAGTATTTCAAGTATGTATTTATACTTAAATACTTTTGCAATCATAACTTACTCAAGTCTTATTTGGGCTCGTTGTTGTTGCGAACTTGGAAACAGAATCCATTTATTTAGAATGGCTGGATGGCTCAATGCTTCAACAACTTGACGTATACACCTACTAGTTGTTCTTTGTACCAAACGCTGCGTTAGTCCAACAATGCGTTGATATGAACCCGTAGCTAAATAGCTAAGAGTACACAAAACCTGAAACATGATTTCATTGAGAAATGACATTAAGTACTTAACTCTGTTGAAAGGTTATACGTAGGTACAAAACTTACCTTGATTTCTAAACTAATTTCCCGGGTACCTTTCAATGACGTTAAACGCCGAAGATCATCACAAAGACGCCAAAAACTTTGTTTATCTAACCTAAAACGATGAACAAATTCCAATTCCTCCATCTCCACAATTTGCACCATTTTACGACGATTTACTCTTGTTTGACGTCTTTGCAATGTTGTTTCATTATTAGCTGCCCATAATAATCTCAAAGTATGCATTTTCACTAATTAATTTGAATTAAAGACACACAAAATATCACTGTTTACTCGTTTCTAGCGTTAGCGTCTGGGTCCGATCTCCCGCTAATATAGGGTGTTGCGGAAACATCAAAATATCATTGGCGTTTGTCAAAAGTGGCAATTGTCTAGCATTTTGATGAACATTTTTGTCGTTAGCGTGTCACGCTCACTTCGACGTTCCTTTCCGCATGAGGAATAATGACTTTGTCTACCAATTAAGCAGCAATCACGTGACATCTGGTTAGCAAATGTCAACTCCATACAATTAGATTTTTCCGTTGGCGTTAACGCTTACAGAAAACGGATTTTGTCTAGGCCCCCTGACCGTCTTGTCCGTCTCGTGGCCACCTAACTGAAGGATCGTACCTTTCATTTCAGACACGAAGGTACGCTATCCTCTCCTCGTCATATTACAGAGCATGTGTCCCTCAAGGTTCCATGCTTGCCCCCCCCTCTTATACATAATAATAATAATAAAGCCCTTTCATTCCGAACTACATGCAGTTTGACATTTGTGGTTTCTTATAATATATTTCGTAATTCGGCGTGCTTTTTGGCATAGGCCTCCTCCAGCTCTCTCCATTGAGCTCAGTCTTCTTCAACTCTGTTCCAGTATGGTCCTAGGGTTAGACGGATATCGTCACTCCATCTTGTTTTCGGACGCTATTGTCTTCTAATGGATACCATAAGGTTACTTGTTTGCTCCATTTATATATTTTACATTGTAGCATATGTCTCGTTCAACTCCATTTTAGATGGTCTATACAAGTTGTTATGTCCGTTACTTTTGTCTTTCTTCTTATTTCCACATTTCGCATTCTGTCACTAAGCCTGATTCCCAACATGCTTCTTTCCATTGCTCTTTCTATTTTAGCAATTTTTTATCTATGTTTGTCTGTTAATCTCCCTGCCTCGCAGCTTAATGTCCGTGTTTCGCAGTCCTCTTATACATTTTCACCAACGACATTCCTATCCCGTCGAATGGTGTCAAGCTCGCCCTCTTTGCAAATGACACTGCCCCTTACTCTTAAGGCAATTAAGGCAAGAAAGTCAGTTAGGAGCTTGGTTCCAAAAATGGCGTATCGACGTAAACCCGGAGAAAAGCTCCGCCGTTTGCTTCGAACATAAACGACGCCGTTCCACTGTCCATTCCGCCAATTAGAATGTTAGGAACCCCTGTTCCTTGGCAAACGACAGCCAAATACTTAGGCGATAACCTCGATGCGAGGCTCACTTTCGAGCTTGATTTTACTAAATTATTTTTTTAGGCTCAACAGCATGTTGGGTAGACACAGTAAAATGTCCCCCGCAACAAGAGAACCCTGTATAAGGTCTGTATACAACCCATTATGACCCACCCGGCCCCAATTTTGTTACAGAATTTTTAACGAATTTCAAATAGTTCAAAACCTCGGGCTACGAAAGCACCCTATTACGTCCGTAACGCCGACCTCCACCGAGACTTAAAACTCCCGACAATTCATCAACTCTTAAAATCACTCTGAGAAATTATTCGAAGCCTCAGGGTCCCACTCAAATCACCTCTTTCACGAGGCAGCTGCCTATGCAGTCCCATTTACCACTCGATATAGTGTCTGCAGGCCGAGAAACTCTCTCTGGGACTCCCTCATAAATCTTTCGGCCGACCTGTACCCCGAGCATGAATAATAAACAATTGCGTCAAGAATTCCTATCGAGTCAACTAAGCGAAAACTTTTACCAAACTGTGACTACAATCGTCGGCAGCACGAACGCCTATCTCTTATTCACGTGTACCCGATACTATATTGTAACTAAACGTAAACAAACCTTATGACTCAATATTAAAACTAATGAATGAAAACGAATGATACGATTAGAAATTGTTACTATTGTATTTGTTGAGTCTTTTATTGTGCGTAAAAATAAGAAAACGTAATGAAAGTTATTAATAAAAGTATGTTAATTAACGTAAAACATTTATTAAACAAATACACTACTTTTAATCATATATGGAGGATAATTTTTTATGTTTATTATTTACGTATTTTGGAGTTGTGATATCCGAACGCGGCCATTTTAAGATTAAATTTAAACACTTCGCGCGGCGCGCTAGTTTTTAATACTATGCTTCATACTAGTTTATGACTGCGCTTCGTGTTGTAGAAAAGTTTTGTATTTGTATTAGTACTTTTTGCTGAATTTCTTTACAATGTTGTCAAGAACTAGCCCCACACATTTTACAATAATGGTAGAGTTCATGGAAAAGTAAGTAACTGATTGATACACAACAACAATAATTATGTATTGATGCCTGTTTAAGTGATGAATATTATGTTTATTTCTAAGGAATAATGATTTATCTAAACCACAAAATTTACCGCAAGGGCGACTGTGGTGTATTAGAAAGTGGAAGAATTTAAGTGATTTGCTTAACAGCCAAAGAATTGGAGAGTCTCG